CTGTAACTTATCATTGCTGTTATTCACACTTCTGAGTTTCCATCCATAGTTCTGATTCCATTAGCTGTACCTCTTTTTTCTTTATTCTCCTTTTAGGTCATAACATTTAATAATCTATATAGTCTTCCAAGATGTATTTTTAATTAGGCTACAATTTCAGTTAGCAAATTTATTTTCACAGGTGACTATCAGAGCCTCAGAGCATTTAATTGTGATTTCTTTGTCAGTTAAAACCTAGATAACTAGGAATGCATAGATTATATATCTATATCTATATCTACTGTATATATATATACATACATACATACATACGTACACAGTATATTGGTTCAGTTAAGCAGACTGGTGTGCATATTCCTTACTGGTTGAGGAATTCTTTTAAGAGAGGTACATGCTGAGATACACATTGGGCTGTAGCTACTGTTCGTCCACAGAGCATTCCTTTCAATGGAATGCATATTCCTATCACTACAAATCAGCAGAGTTAGTCATGCATACATTCCTTTTCAGAGTGTGATATATTTGGGCTAAGTTTTTACAATTAAATTAATTCCAAAGGTAAGATGGATGATACTTACGATGACAACATCAGGCTGCTTTTCAAGGGACTTCATAATGATTTTATAGTTGTTCATAATATTCTTTATAAAATGAAGTAAACATACTTAATAACAGTTAAGTGGAAATGAATTCAGTTATTTATTTAATTAAATATTATTGGTAATTTAAAACGGAGAGAGCTGAGTTAATCTAATAGAAAAGCAGAATTAAAATCAATGTTGCCCTGTTGTTGTCTTGTGATTCATTAATATAATATAAAATGAGAATTCAAAAACAGGTATTTGAAGTGGTATTTAAAACTCATTTAATATAGGGACTGAGACAATTATATTCTATATATTCTATTTGATTGTTTTAAATGTCATCCCTAGATAATATGGATAGCAGAAACCTCAAAGGAGTATTGGGTGACATAATTTGTCGATGTGTGTACTGTATAGGTTCCAAATCTTCAAAATAAAAGGTGTTACATAAGTGGAAAGTCCTTGTCATTACTGCTAATTGAATGATCCTATTACAATAATGTGGATACAATTTAGAAACATATGGTATATTATGAGAGAGAGCTTTTTATTCATCCTGTGATGCATATTAGTTGTTTTAACTTTTAAAGAGATTAGTAATCTGGAAGAATTCCCAACTATTGTTCCAGACAGCAGTTAGATATTTGGGTGGATCATGTAAAAACACTGAAAAGGCTGAGAGAGCATGTGAAATGTTTGTTTGAAGTGATATTACATCAGTGAATGAGACATCTGTACTTTTTGATGTGGTTTTCGAAGGTTTATAGTATTGTACAGGAATTTTAAATGGGTTTTCTTTCATCGTATTCATTCTATTATTATTTCTGTATTTTTCAGTTATATTATTAAAGATGTTGCATCTTTATGTATTTGGAGTGCTTTTATGGTAACTGAATTTGTACTGGTCCAATTCAAAGGAAATATGAGCACTTACAGTTTCCCTGAGCTGGTGTTGCTTTTTGGTTTTTTTCTGTAGATACTGTATACCAGGAGAATCATGCTTTACCACTATAATTCACTATCTGTTATAGGACAAAGAGATGAGTGTTTTCCTGATTATAGTAGGAGGGAGGAGGGGAAAGGCACAATTAAATTAATAAGTTCAATATGTTGTACATTAGGGACAGTGCTTGCACCTGGCATTCCAGCCCCCAGCTGAGTCTACCATGGACACCTAGCTTAGATTTCCCCAAAAAATAAAAGAAGAATTGTGCTGGATCAGGCCAAAGACCTATCAGTCCTATATTCTGTTCACACTGTGATCTCCAGATACCTATAAGAAGCATACTGTAAGGACATGAGTACAACTGTGTTCCTCAGCAACTATATTGGCAGATGTATTGAATACATATATACATCTACCACAATTGTAGTTATATTAGTGGCAGCATTTATAAATTTATCAAAAACTTTTGAAAACAACGTAGGTTGATGTCCATTAATCTTATGGTAGTATAATGATATTTCTCAGATTTCTCAGCTTGAGTTTTGATTTCTTATAATGTGATTTGATATGGTTTTATTTAGTCACATTGTGAAAAATAAAATATTGGACCCAATACTGTGCCCAAGCCCCTTAAAGTAGAGTTACTCTTAGGTCCAAAACGACAATTGTAGAAACTCTATATTATCAAACAACCAATATATCAATCTATGTGTTTAAAATATTACCTACATAATAAAAGTCAGCTAGACAATTACTACATTGAACTGTACTTATGAAACTGTCTTATTGACTGGGAGGAACTCTCCAAGGCTTGAAGCAGAAATGTTTCTTACATATGCCAAATACTGAAGATTAAACCTTGGACTGCACATGTGCAAAATTGAGGTTCACTGAAGTAAACTATATGGCCCTTCCACTTCACTGAAAGTACCCAGACATGGAGTTGATCTTAGGAATCATAGGTCCCGATCTGACATTCTACCTATTGAATCATATTGAAAATAAATCTAATTAAATTTTGTAAAAAACAGATACTCTTATGGGATGACAATGGTGATAGACAATGATATGTGTTATGAAGATAACAAAAACTGCCTGTAATCACACATTTTGGTTTGGAGGGAGATTACAGTGTATACCACCTAAGTTCCTAAGGGAAAGGCATAGTTTAAAATTACAAATAATTAAATGCATTTTAAAATTTACATGAATATTTAGAATGATCTCTGCTCTGAATTTCAGCACCAAAGGGAATTCTTCATCTGTCTCCTGATGTTTATCAAGAAATGGAAGCCAGCTGCAACAAAGCATCCCCCAGTACCTCCATAAACCATTTGACATCCAAGGAAATGAACCGGACATCTAGTTGTTTCTTCAATATATCCCCTGCCACTAATAATACAGCTACAGTTGCCAGGGAACTCCTTATGAATGGAACATCCCCAAGTGGTGAAGCTATAGGTCAACAACGAGTGTCATTCACATCCCATTGTTGTACAGTGCAGCCTTCAAAGCAACTGGAATATCTGGCTAAGATTCAAGGCTTTCAGGTATGGGTACGTTAGAATAAATTACCCTTTACAGCCAGTACTCAGACTTTATTGTCTTATAATTGTGGTCTAAATAACAGCAAAGCTTGCACACCATTTGTAAACTTAGCCAGTGTTCTACGAAAGTAGGGGCTTCTGCACTGATATCCCCTCATATTGTTCGTGTCTATCTGCAATCACTTAGAGCTGAAGTTAAGGAAACAAAGTGAGATAATCAGCTGACATAATTACATGGACAAGGTTATAATGAATAATGGACATCATATTATAGTCCAGGAACAGATCATAGGTTTTCAGAGAGACATTTGCAGTATAAAAGTATATTGTTAGTGAGTGAGTACTCACTCTCACATTTGCATCTGGTGAACAGTTATAGTGGCTTGGAACCAATGGAAACCTTCACAATCAGATCACTACTCAGAAATACTAGAAGCTAAATCATGGTTCAAAGCTGTATGCACCTTTCTCAACTTTCTATCAAGATACACAAATTCATCTACTGGCTCTGCTTTTACATAATTCATGTACAACGTTTTCCTTTTAAACATAACTATCTTGTTCTTTTCACATATTAATTTTCAGATCTATATTCCCAGGTGCATCATACATGCTATCCAAAATTTACAGAAATCACTTGAATTCTAAGCCAAACAACATGACATATTTGGCATCAAAAGTAGATGCACATTCACATCCTTAACTGGCAAACCTCTACAATCAGGAAAAACATTCCTTAT